TGTTTTGGAATCACCTCCGTGCATCGAGGAAAGATTTAATAAATTTTTAAGTTTACTCTCAAATGCCGTAGATGTATATTTACCGACAAAAATAATTAAATGCAAAAGTAAATTAAACCATAAAACACCTTGGTTTAGTCAACATTTGCGAAACATCCGGTCTAATTTGAACATCATGATTGATATACAGAAATCTTCTGGCAATATACACTTACTTGATAACATCAAGAGATATAAATGTTATTACAGGAAAGAAATAAACTTAGCAAAGAAACTAGCAAATGATACTATTATAAAAAATTCAACCAACACTTGCCAAGCAAGCTGGAAAATTATAAATACACACCGACCCAAACAAACTACAAGTAACTGTTGTAACGTTTCTCCAGATGATTTCAATAGTTACTTTGCTAATATTCCCCATAATATAATAAACTCCCTAAATAATCCCATTAATAACCACGATTATTACGCGAGCTTTCTTGATAATTTCTCGGGCCCGACATTTCAGTTTAATGAATTTACTTTTATTGAGATAAGAGATAATATTCAAAATTTAAATAATTCTAAAAGTCTTGATTATTATAACTTAAACTCAAAAATCCTAAAAACTCTATTAAATTTAATCATTGTGCCTTTAACGAACCTCATGAATACTTGTCTAAAAGAATCTGTCTTTCCACAAAGTTTAAAAATATCCAGAGTATTACCTATATACAAAAAAGGTTGTCATAATGACCCCGGTAACTAAAGACCAATTTCTATAACTCCCATAGTAAGTAAAGTAATTGAAAAAAGCCTTAAAAAACAATTAGTTAATTATTTTGAGTGTAATAAATTATTTAACAGCTGTCAGTATGGATTTAGACCTGGAATGTCCACCACGATGGCAATTAATGATTTGATAAAGTTAATATACAAATCGTTCGAAAACCAAAGCTATACAGGAGTTTTGTTTTGTGATATATCCAAAGCTTTTGACTGTGCTTCCATTGATGTTCTTATGACAAAACTTAAAAGGTATAACTTTGGACAAAGTGCCTGCTCCCTGTTGCATTCATATATGTCCAACAGACACCAATTTGTATTATTTAAGAACAAGTCTTCCACGTTATTACCAATTAATATAGGAGTGCCGCAGGGATCTGTTCTTGGTCCTTTAATATTTTTAATATATATTAATGATTTACCAAAATGCACCTCGCAAGCTAACTTTGTCCTTCTTGTCGACGATACAACTGTCGCAATATCAAACAGAGACTTAAATAACATCAATGGAAGAAGCTAAAGTCATAATTAATGACTGGTTTCTTGCCAATGCCTTAAAACTTAACCAAGAAAAAACAACAACAACTTTTTTTTCCCTAAAAACAGGAGAACACTCAGATGTTTCTTATGCGAAATTCCTGGATAGCAAGTTATTGTGGGAGGAGCACACTAATAATGTTTCGCACAACATGTCCACGGGCTTATACGTATTACGCAATCTTAAATTTATTGTATCACAGACAGTATTACTAAGTGCATATCATGCATTGGTACATGCCAAAATGTCTTATGCCATTCTAGTATGGGGACACGCAGCCACGGCCTCACGTGTTTTTAAAATTCAACGTAAAGCCATACGCATTATAGATAATATTAAATACCGAGATGACGTTCGATCCTCTTTTATAAAACTAAGAGTGTTGACTTTACCATGTGTCTATATATACAATTGTCTATTACATATGAAAAAAAACATATCGGACTACTCCACCCGAAATCAAGTGCATAATATAAATACCAGAAATAATGAAAACTTACATATTGAGTATCATCGATTAAAACGAACTAAAAATTCAATAACCTATTGGGGACCTATGTGTTATAACAAATTACCCAAGCATGTTAAAGAAATGCCGTTAAAATCATTTTGTAATTTCATAAAATTTTATTTAATTGAAAAAGCCTTTTATAACCTTCAGTAGTTTCTGGATAATGATATGTTATGAATTTTTTTGTATTTTTTTGTATTAATTGGTTTTTTATTACCTTTAGGTATATTGTACTGTTTTATGCAAATAAAGTATCTTGTTTTTTTTCTTATATTTATTATACTTATAAGGTATTTTATGTAAATGCTAATTAGTTAGTCTCATTTTTTTATTATTATCATGTATTATATTTTTTGTGACGAGTGTAAATACTTATTGTATGTAAACACGAATAAAGCATTATTATTATTATTATTATTATTATTATAATAATTTATTTTCAATAAAAATTTTGGTTTACTGAGGCTTCTTGATTTTTAACAGTTTAAAAAAAACATTTAATGATAATGAACATTTCGAATGCGAATATTTCAGAAACAGTTGAATTTAGGATATGGTTTGTTATATGAATTATGCTTAGAATTTTACAAGTACTCGAAAAATAAATTCATATATAGGGTGATCCATTGAAAAAAAATACACTTTTTGTTTTTCCCTGTATATTGATCAATTTTTAATTTTTTTAATAAGTAGAAAAAAAGTATTTTTTAGTACCTACATAACCACACTTTTAAATTTTTTGGGACACTTAAATTAAAAAAGTTAAAGGGGGGCGACATTATAGGGGATCACCCTGTACACATAATTTTAGTAAGCCCATTTAAAATTATACTCTACATAATTTTAAATCACGAATTAAAATTATACCCAACAAAACACTGATTTCTGTAATTTAAACTCAAAAGAATCGCTCAATTCGACAGGTTTAGACCAACAAATTATAAATGTTAATTTAATCGAGCGCGAAAAGATTTTTCATATAAAGGTGTAAGGCCACCCGTGTTTACGGTATGTCAAGTGATACATCATCTGAAAGGGCTTCTAAAGACCTTTAAAACAAGCTATTACTCAATGCTCTGTGACTAGCAGTTCCTGAGATATACCTGTTTTTTAAGAGCCTGCAGAGGTAAATTGGTAAATTTATTGATTTTCAAAAATCCATAACAAAAAACTTGGTTTAAAAAAATTCATGTGATACATCATCTGAAAGGGCTTCTAAAGACCTTTAAAACAACCTATTAGGTACTCAATGCTCTGTGACGAGCAGTTCCTGAGATATACCTGTTTTTTAAGAGCCTGCAGAGGTAAATTGGTAAATTTATTGATTTTCAAAAATACATAACAGAAAAACTACTGTTTAAAAAAAAATTGGTTTTTCGAGTTTTTTAATGGGAAGAGCAACTGTACCAATTTAACTCGAGGACTTCAAAGATCTGTTTGCTCAAACTTAGCCCACGCATTTAAAGATTTACCGCCTCTTCTAGGCTTATCTAGAATTGAACAAAATTGCTCAAACTTTAATTCATATCGCACGGCTGTCAAAGATCTAAAGCCGGGAATACATCTGAGAAACGTTGCCATTCGTTCGCATTCGCTGTTATTGCCAACATTGCTGCTCGTTTGCGCTCGTTCGTAGGCATTCGCGGCAACGTTGCTTGGTAGACTGACACATTTGCGAATTGCATGCAAAAAATGCCAGAAAACATTCACTAGCATTCTACTCATTCGCGGAGCTAGAAATCGTAAACAAATAGCAAGTCTGACTTCTGGTGGTATTGCATGCTTCTCTGAAGTTTGTATTCCCTTTAACAATTTCTGGTATAACCATTTTCAGAAGGAAGCTAAAATTTTCTCGAGACATTCTAGTAAAGTTTAAAAAAAAACTCAAATATAAATCATTCATCCAAACAAGTCCCTTTTTCCTCTTCTGTTTTTCTTTCCGTCGTTTAATGATTTTATGGATAATTAGGTATATACGAGGCACAGGCCACTATTAAATGATTCTCAATCATTTTTATCATTCATGTACGGAAACAAAATCAACTTTCCTCCCTGAATTGTAGCGAAGTAACAACGTTCGCAGACATTCGCAACTCGGATTTCCTTTTGATCTTTTTTGTTTTACCGACAGACGATGGAAAACGTTGCCATTCGTTCGCGTTTGTTTGCATTCGTTCGCATTCGTTTGTCAAGTGTGGATGGTCATTTGTGGTCATTCGCAACGAATAAATTTTGGTGCGAACGGCCAGCACAGCAAACGAACGTTTTCCATCGTCTGTCGGTAAAAAAGAAAAGATCAAAAGGAAATCCGAGTTGCGAATGTCTGCGAACGTTGTTACTTCGCTACAATTCAGGGAGGAAAGTTGATTTTGTTTCCGTAGTTGAATGATAAAAATGATTGAGAATCATTTAATAGTGGCCTGTGCCTCGTATATACCTAATTATCCTTAAAATCATTAAACGACGAAAAGAAAAACAGAAGAGGAAAAAGAGACTTGTTTGGATGAATGATTTATATTTGAGTAGAACAAGATATGATGGTATGAACTTACTAGTCGATTTAAATCCTACGTTTTTTTTTAAACTTTACTAGAATGTCTCGAGAAAATTTTAGCTTCCTTCTGGAAATGGTTAAACCAGAAATTGTTAAAGGGAATGCAAACTTCAGAGAAGCATGCAATACCACCAGAAGTCAGACTTGCTATTTGTTTACGATTTCTAGCTCCGCGAATGAGTAGAATGCTAGTGAATGTTTTCTGTCATTTTTTGCATGCAATTCGCAAATGTGTCAGTCTACCAAGCAACGTTGCCGCGAATGCCTACGAACGAGCGCAAACGAGCAGCAATGTTGGCAATAACAGCGAATGCGAACGAATGGCAACGTTTCTCAGATGTATTCCCGGCTTAAGATGGTGCCTTCAAAACCTTTGGTTGATTTGATATGAAATTACCCTTGGCATGAATTTTATTTTATTTATTTTAAACCAATTAAGGACCAGCGTGAAAAAAAAAACAAAATAAGGACCACCCCATTGGACATAGTTTATAATTATATTATTATATTTTTATTATTATATTTTACCTGAATTTTTAAATAGAGTATTTGGCGCGTAATCTGAATAATTTTAAACTTCTAAAGGTGACATTTGAAACAAAGAAAATATAACAACTTTAAAAACTTACTTATCCTCAGCATCAGATCCTTGAGTCGTGTGACTTTGATGTGAACCACTGCTAAGCTGAGAGTTCCTTCCAAAACTGCCCCTTCTTACAGGTCCCACTGTTCTCTGGTTTGCAGGTTTAACAGTTATAATTAGATTTGAGCTATTTGCCACCATCATATCTGTTACTTGATCAAGTGTCTTTCCTGACACTTCTATACCATTTACTTCAAGAACTTCATCGTTTACCGCCAAAAGCCCAGTAGATTCCGCCAAACCTCCAGGAACCAATCTGGATATAAATATACCCGGAATTTTTTCTAGCCCTTTAACAATACATAATAAATTTAATTTGGATTAATCCAGTACCCAGATAGCAATCGTGCGTTGCACGTAGGTCGCACGGCGTGAGAACGCACACGTGTGGTCGATTTCACACGCATATGAGTAGCATAGCCGTGCGCGCCCACGCGATGAGCGCAGTATGAGCGCACGACGTGATCAGAGCGCAGTATGAGCGCACGACGTAATCAATGATCTCTTACACTGTGCTTATCGGCAGTGATGCCAGATTATATATAAAAAACAGTAGATTTCGTTTTTATTCACCTTATAATTACAAAAATTATACAATCAATAATAATTAAATAATGTTAAATTGCAATTTGCATTGTTTCACTAGGTCCAATTAAAATGACATGCATCAACTGATTTATGTATATATATATATATATATATATATTATAATTTATTATATTGCATTTAAATTCAAGTTTTAAAATTCGCGCGGGCAACGCGGTAATTCGACAAAAACATAACCTAAAAACATAACTACATGTATACATTGCTGCAAAGCGGGTTGTATTTATTTTTCTATTGTGTTTGTTAAGTCCATGTCTGACGGTGCAACTTCTCGCGGCGACTTTGTTGCGGCGACTAGGTCGCCGCGATTTTTTGGTGGTCACACGATGCAACTAATCAGCTGATCTAAACTGTCCTAAAATAGAACATGTTCTATTTTCATACAATAAAATCGCCGCGACTTGGTAACTTTTTTAGGGATTTACGAATTTTCACTAAATTTTTTGGTTGGTACTTAATATTTATCAGTTGTGGAATGACAGATGTGATTTGCGTGTGCTTTAATCAGAGTGTTTTTATTTATTTACAAATTGTGATAATGAACCAAATAGGCTCACAGGGATTTACGTGGGATAGGGAATCCACTAAAATATTAATTCTAGGTTACGAGACAAACCCGAATCTGTACCTCACAAATGATCCGGGTTATAAATTAAAAAATAAATATATATTTTTACACCACAAAATATTTATAACTTTAAAAGAAAAACAAAACCGATTTAAATTAACATTAAATTTGTTTAGGTATTTTTATTTTACAATCAAGTAATTGTCGGTTATGTTGGCAATCCTAGTAGAAAATAACGTCAGTTTGGTTGCACCGTGTGAACACTCTAGAGGCGAGAAAGTCGCTGCAACTAGTCGCTGCAACAAAGTCGCCGCGAGAAATTGCACCGTCAGACATGGACTTTAGTTATTAAGGATTTCAGGTAAGTGTGAAAAATATAAAGATTAAATCATAACAAGCATTTTCCCATCATAATTGATTATTTTTCTTGGGATCTCACAATAATTAAAATTTTGAAATACCAATAAACATAAATTAGGTACCCTAGAAAATGTTTCATTAGCTGTAAAAACAGACAATCAGTTGCGCAATGAAACAGATAGTCACTGACGAATTCGTTAAATCAAATATTACTTGGGATGGTTCCAAGGGGAAAATTGAATTTAGAACAACAAAAATTTGCAATACCCTATATCGTAAGTGCCTACTACTTTTTTTTTAATAAAATAATCAATGTTATTTTTAATTTTTTGCTGCAAAAAGGACTAATTCGTTTGAAGGACCCTCAAATAAAGGATCCTTTAAATATGATTTTAAAGAGGTTATTAGGGCTACAAAACAACGACAAAAAAATGCCGAAAAACAAACAAATAATAAATTAAACTCTGGCAAAATTTTGCCAAAGTTAAGAACAAATGTACCCGAATTTCCTGACAGTGACCGAAATAGTGGAGTATCTGACTATGAAAGTGATTTTGATTAGAATATATTGTAATCAAAATCACTTATAAGAATTAGAGTTTTTATTTACTTTTCAGATTTTGGGATTTTTTTTTATGTTACTTTGGTTTTTAAAATCACTTATCAATATTTGCATTTTTATATACTTTTAAATTTTTATTTTTTTTAGGATTTTTTATTTTACTTTTGTAATTTTTTGTATCATCTGACTATGAAAGGGATTTTAATTAGAATATATTCTAATCAAAATCACTTATAAGAATTAGAGTTTTTATTTACTTTTCAGATTTTGGGATTTTTTTTATTTTACTTTGGTTTTTAAAATCACTTTTCAATATTTGCATTTTACATACTTTTTAATTTTTATTTTCTTTAGGATTTTTTATTTTACTTTTGTAATTTTTAAAAATATTTTTACTTTATGATTTTATGATTTTACTTTTGTGATTTTTGACAGTAGGATTTTTTATTTTACTTTTGTAGTTTTTAAAAATATTGATCAACCTGTGCATTTTTATTTACTTTAAGTTTTGTGATTTTACTTTTGTGATTTTTGACGGTATACCTATTTTTAAAATCACTTGATCAATTAATCAACTTGTGCATTTTTATTTACTTAAAAACTTTGTTATTTTTGAAAGTATTTTTAAAAACAGCTTTTTTTCTGTTTAAGATTTTTAATTACTTTAGCATTCTATTATTTTAATTGGATTTTTTGAAAGTATTTTCAAAATCACTTGATAAATTGGGGTGACATTCACAATATCGAAATTCATTATATCGAATTCAAAATATCGAACACTTTTTATCGAAAATCAAAATATCGAAAATACAAAATGTCGAAAATCAAAATATCGAAAATTCAAAATGTCGAAAATGATAATACCGAAATTTTATTTAATCGAATTTTCAATTTATCGAAAATAAAATCTCGACCGCATACCAAACCAACCCAAACTTAACAACCCAACCCAACCGACCCCGCCCCATTGAGCAATAGAGATATAATATATCTAAGGGCAGGCTGGATTGTGACAATGGGGCGGGAGGGGCCCAATGGGGCGGGGTCGGTTGGGTTGGGTTGTTAAGTTTGGGTTAGTTTGGTATGGCACAATGCAGTGTACCTGCATAACCAAAATGACAGCTATTCGTCATAACCTTGAGGAATACTTTGCTACATTTAGCCTCTAGTTGAAAATGAGGTTAAAATATGCGACAGTTGAGCACACACTTTTCTACCTCCGTCCGACGGTCGGGGAGACACTACCTTTAATTATTCGACATTTTCAAATCGACATTTTAATTTTCGATATTATCATTTTCGACATTTTGAATTTTCGATATTTTGATTTTCGACATTTTGTATTTTCGATATTTTGATTTTCGATAAAAATTGTTCGATATTTTGAATTCGATATAATGAATTTCGATATTGTAAACGTCACCCGATAAATTGATCACGTGTGAATTTTTAATTTGAGATTTTTATTTACTTTTTATTTAAGATTTTGTGATTTTTAAAAGTATTTTAAAATCACTTAATTAATTAATCAACATGTGGATTTTTATTTACTTCAATATTTTTACTTGCTTTAAGATTTTGTGATTTTACTTTTGTGATTGTTTAGTATTTTTAAAATCAATTGATTAATTGATCATGTGCTTTTTTATTTATATTAAGATTTTTTTATTTTACGTTTGTGATATTTATTTACTTTTTTAAATTGATTTTGATTAAAATTTGCATTTTTATTTACTTTTTCCCTTTACTTGAATATATATATATATATATATATATATATATATATATATATATATATATATATATATATATATATATATATATATATATATATATATATATATATATATATATATATATATATATATATATAATATATATTATATATATATACGGGTTTAAGGCAAAACGACACAAACGCCAAAATTTAAAAAAAATTGTTACAGCTTTAGCTAGAGAATTTAATTCTCTATCAACATGTCCTTCTAACAATTTTTTGAAAAATTTGGCGCTTGTGCCATTTTGCATTAAACCCGTCGTTATATATGCATTTCCTTTTGAAATATACAACTTTTTTGACTCATTCATGTGCGCTGGAAATGCGTCGGCACACGTGCGCTTTAAATGCGCCGGCACACGTGCGCTGCATATGAGACGCATGGGTGCCATACCAAACTAACCCAAACTTAACAACCCAACCCAACCGACCCTGCCCCATTGGGCCCCTCCCGCCCCATTGCCACAATCCAGCATGCCCTTAGATATATTATACCTCTATTGCTCAATGGGGCGGGAGGGGCCCAATGGACCGGGTCGGTTGGGTTGGGTTGTTAAGTTTGGGTTGGTTTGGTATGGCACAATGCAGTGTACCTGCATAACCAAGATGACAGCTATTCGTCATAACCTGTATGACAGCGGTCGAGATTTTATTTTCGATAAATTGAAAATTCGATTAAATAAAATTTCGATATTTTCATTTCGACATTTTGAATTTTCGATATTTTGATTTTCGACATTTTGTATTTTCGATATTTTGATTTTCGATAAAAAGTGTTCGATATTTTGAATTCGATATAATGAATTTCGATATTGTGAATGTCACCCATACAAAAGTAACATATAAAAATTCGCGCAGAGTGCAGGGTGCAAAAGAAGGAAAATCAAAAATAAAGGGTGTTGAAAAATATGCATATGTGTATGTTGGGCATATTAAGGGTGTAGTGCAGAAAGATGAAATGATGGAATACTTAAATGAAAATTTTCCTAATAACAGCTTCCAAGTAAAAAAAACTAAACTCAAAAGGTAACAACAGTAGCTTTAAACTAAGGTAGACGTTAAAAATAAAGAAATATTGTTTAATGAATCCAAATGGCCGCAAGGTAGTTTTTTCGAGGTCCCATCAATAAAAATGAAAATAGAAAATATTCTAAAAGTATTTCATTGTAATATGCAGGGTGTTGAGTGAAAACTTGATGTTCTTGCAATTATTATCAGAAATAAACGCAGATATAGTTTGCCATAGTAATCACTGGTTAAAAAAATTTTATTCGTGGCCGTGTTTGTATTTTTGCAAAGGCTAATTTAAATTGAAGAACCCTGGTATATAATAAATCAAATGAGAAGCATTTTGAAGTGTGTGTTAGTGAATACAATAGTGGCAACTTAAAAATCTATATTGTTTGTGTATATCGTT